GGGCAAAGCCTTAATGGACATGCCTTAAGTAGACAAGAGACACGTGAGACGGGGTGTGTAAACAAAGGGGGAGGTAGAGAAAAACTGTGTGATGTAACAGCACATGCAGCTGGGTGTTAGCCATCATACTTTGTTCTCACAGGCCAACTTGTACTGTCCCTATAAACATCTGACATCCTGGACCTGTCTGAATGTGACGGCCTCTGACACATTCGGAAACGCTCCCACTTTTACCCAGATTCCTACTGACCACCATCAGATTGTTTACTTTGCCTCTCTGTCTGTGTCCATTACAGCTTTACCCATGCAAAGCTTTCTGACAGATGAGGCTAAATATCCAAACAGAAAATCAATAACCAGCTGCCTTTACACACACACAGTTATATCAATAACAGCATGCCTCATTCTTACCGATACAGTATGTACTAGTAAACAGTAGTATTTTTTTACTAAGTTAGAGGTCTGAATCTGTCAGGCTCCGCTGTGGCAAAATACGGTTCACTGCTCTTCTCGTTTCTTTATATTGCTGTACAGTCATTAATCGTCTGAGCTCTTGTGGCTTGGTTTTTGTCACAAAGCCAAAACATACATTCACACTGACATTTTAATGCCCTCAAACACAAAGATGCATGCATTTGGGAAAACTCCTCAAGTTCAGGACATGGAAAAGAATCTGGAAGGACTTCGATATTAAAAGAATGAGGGGGTTGGTCATGGGTTCAAGACTGGGAGAGTCTCCATTGGCTGCTGGCAAGTACTTATCCTTATTTTCCCCTCAGTGTCAGTGATAAATTCATTTTAATGTCATGTATGTTGAATGATTACTTGCATGCAAAATTTGCCACTTTTTAATATATTTTAAAATGCTAAATATTCCTGTGTTTGCAACACTTAAGTTTCAGCAGCCATTACTCCAGATTTCAGTGTCACATGAGCCTTGAGAAATCATTCTGATATGCTGATTTAGTGCTCAAGAAACATTCTCACTGTTATCAAAGTTGAACAAAAAGACACATTAGCCTGAACAAACAAAAACAGAGATAAAAAAAAAGATTCTCAGTATCAGCCCAGGTATTCTTTGCTGATAATACGTGAGCAAAAACATCTTAACTACTTATAATTGGTTTGCCTCCAATTCAATGCAGGGTCAATGTCAGGTTACAGTGAGTTGCTCAGAGACAAGAAGCCAAAGTATGAGAGCTGAATGCATTTGTCACAACATCACTTTCACCCCAGTTAACAGTCGCAGCATTCCAACTGAGATTTGTGTTTATCAACCATAATGAGGGCAAACTGAGTACACAAAAGCTGTTTTGATAGGTGAAAAAATTCAATTTTTGGTATCATTATAATAAACTGAATTTAACCAGTAAGTGCAAATAATATAACTGCTGCTATTTCATTTACATCTTTGCATTGCAAGTTTTATATTGAAATTAATAAAACAATTTAATGAGTGAAGTGATATTGCTCTGAAAACTCATTTCTGCCAACATTGTCAGCTCAGTGCAAAATTCCTAGTCCAATTTTGCTTATGAGTCCAGTCCAGAACCTTTTAAACAAAACTGTCTTTCACACCTTTAAACAAGCTGAATCTTTTTCCAGGTAACAGCAGCTATCAATTTTGACTTTATAATCATTTAACAGATCGTAAACGTAAAGAACCGCAGCACTGATTTATAGCAAAACTGATTACAGTTTATGATTTTATGACACTGGTAGGAAAAATTATTTTGTTTACACATGACATAATAGCAAGAATCCACCTTGGGAGTGTTAGGGATTTTCCCCAAATCTGATCCTGTGATTCCGAGAAGATGTTCCTTAAATGAGCAATAGACATCTTTCCTTCCTGTCTCATTCTCGATGGACTACAGTACGATAATTACGCAACTTTCAAGATCCTTGCCTGTAAAGGGAATCTCCAATAGTGACCCGGTCAGATGGTGTAAAAGCTTTAGAAACACATGTCAACTTCTCAATAAGGAGAAGAGAGAAAGCTTGCAGAGGACAAGCAGGGACACTACAAATGAAAACTCCCAGAGTGTGTACCAGTGACAGTTTCACATTCCAGCTTCTGCTAAGCAAGCGAGTCGCAGACACCAAATGTATTCTGGAGCCACTGTCCTGCTGTGAAAGACAACAAAGGTGTTTTTAAGTGTCAGTCAGGCCATTGCTGCCACCCAAAATTAAGGGAAGTGAAACTAAACCGGTTCTTTTTCTGATCTTCCATACCACAGGGTGCAATATCTAGTCTCTTCTCGCCCCTACTTCCCATTATGTCACTGAACTGACCAGACAAGCTCATTCTGCAATGCTCGGCTTGCTGTAACGACACTGCCAAATGGTATTTTCACCCCCACTGAGGAGGAAAAGCTTTTCAATAGTGCATTGAGTCACTTTCAGAACTGAGAGGAAGTGCAGAGTAACACTGGAGTGGCCCTTGCTTGTTCAAAATGTGTTGCATTTTACAATCCTTAATGTGTTCAGATGGGTTATAAAAAGTGCTCTTGGGCTTAAAAGAGGGTTCTGACTAAACAAAGATTAATGAACTTTTTGGTTTTATTAAAACAAAGCAAAGACACCTACTCTATAGTGCCCTATTCACATCTACTTTATTTCCTTTTTAATTTCAGTGTGAATAAAGGAGTGAGGAGTCTCAAAAAGTCTCAATAGCCCAACTGGTGCACTTGAAATATAATAAAGCACTTAAAGAATTCATTTTAAGGAAACAAATCTATTCATACAAGAAGACTTACTTACAACACTAGTAAATATCTATGATTGGTGCTTGGAAATGAAATTGCACTGGAGTGAAAGCAAGGCTTAATAATCTTGAAGCTTGAATAACAGAATATTAGTATAATTA